TATTTTGGATATATACTGTTTTTCATGTGAGATGTTTATTTTTATTTTCAAACATTATTCGATCTCGGTGTCCATATTCTTCCAGCCTTCCTAGTAAGTACATTGACAGACCGAAGGTGATTTAGTGGACGTAATATTTTCCTCATCTCCTCCTTTTCTGTATTCCCCTCGTAATAACCGAAAAATGAACTCATGGTGTGAGCAATTTTCCAGTGGAAAATTGTAGAACCGGTGGAAATGGTGATGGCGGGGTTCTCCGCAATTGTGAAAACTCGCCATCAGTGAGAAACCCTCCACAAACCCGAGTGGACGACCGCATATTGCGCAATGTCTGTTGAAAAAAAAAAAATGGTCTCCCCTGAATGCACTTCCTCCAATGTTTCATCTTGGTGCTCACCCCCGTCGGGGCGTAGTATACAAGACTGGTACAGTAACGACTCCAACGGAGCCATTGTCTGTCGCCTGGAGGTGCACATAGTACGCCCCGTTTTTCCAACGTGAGAGGAAGCATTCATTGTCCAGGAGAGGATGCAGCGATGGTGAATGGCCAGGGTATCTCGTTTAACTTCAATTACCGGAGCTTCCCTTTCACCTTCCCCTTCATGCATCATGGGGTATCTCTCTTCAGCTACTCTGGGACACTGCACGACGCCTCATACACTCAATTGTACCTAGGGGGCGGTGTATCGTCCTCATTCTCTTTTTATCCCTCTGCTTTTTTTTTTTCTTTTACTGTTCCAGGATGGAGAGAGGTCGTGCTTTTTACGCGGTGGTTTACCTGCTTAGCTCGTTAGATTCTCTTTTGGACACCAGTCCTCTGTACCCCCAACCGCACCACAAAGTTCAAGAGCAGGAGAGAATGCGTCTTTCCCATTCTCACTGTATTTTTTCACCTTTTTTCCAACCAACAACATCACCTTCATGTTCATCTCCGTCTGGCATAAAGAGACATTTTTTTGCCCATGAATTTTTCTGAGGTAATAATAATATTATGGAAAAGATCTGAAAACGGATGTCGCATCGCATCTCCATAAATTATTTGTTAATTTTTCTTTATCATTTTTCGTTGGATAAAAAAATACTTCACAAGGGGGTAAAAAAAGGAATATGAAGAAAGAACAGCGGAAAAAAAATTACGCAAGTTCATTTATTCCAACAGCCCGGAAATGCCCTGCAGCTTCTGCTCCTGTCCGGAGGGTCTCGGGAGCCACAAAAATTTTCCCACACAATATCCGGTATTTAACGAAGGGATGAGCCCCCAATAGCGCCTAATCGACCCTGATTTCCATCGATGAGTTGAAAAAAAAAATCGGTGCTGTGACGTTGCCAAGGAAAATTAATAGTCGAGGAGAAAAAAAAATTAGGCGATGACGAGAATATACCGAATTGATAATAATCACTGGCCACCGATATTAAACGTGCCAAGGATGATGGTTAGAACGATTAAACGGATATCGAGGGAGTGACCTGGACCACCTGGTGGAATCGCTCCTGGGTTAGGGTAGCGTGGCACAAAAAATTACGAACCCGGCCCCCTGGGCCCCATTTTTTTTGTTCAAACCCCGAGAAAAAAAAATCCTAAAACAATGTTCATGATGAGAGGTAAAATAAACTTCTTGTTTTGTTAATATTTTTTTTTCTCACCGATAGAAATCGAAAATTGCCCAGGGTGGGATCAACGAGTGGAGGATAAAACGTGAGAAGAAGATAGATGCTCTTAAGAGGCAGGAAGTGACTTCAAATATTTGGCCAAGGACCCAATTTAACTGGCCCCAACGAGCCTCCGGTAATTTCCCGAAGATTCTGTCTCTCGAATGTCTTTCACCGTTTCCGGATGTCGATCAGATGTTACGAGAATCTGTCGCCTGTCTAACGGTGATGGGGTACAATGGTAAGAAGATATTTTCTCTAATGCGTAAAAAAAGATCCGACGATTTTGTTGAGGGTAGGAGAGGGCCTCATGGAGGTTAATAAGCAAGCAATCTACCCTGGGACCTCTAATGCTCGCCTAAATATACAGAACGTGATTGGAATGGGGAGAGCTGCCTAAAAAATGGGGATTGAGAAAAACTTTATGGAGTTTGGTTCAATGGTAATGGGAAGTGAGTTTGATTAGTTCCACTGTAATTTCGGGGGCATTAATGCCCACGATCTGGGATAATTTCACTACTCATTTCGTTAATTAATGCAATTCATTCATCAAGAGATTGGTATATCCGCAGCTGTAAATTAGAATTAGATTTTTAATGCGAATTTCAATTAATGAGTGTCAAATGAAGCAGCAATTTATTACTTTAATATTCATTATTTATATTTTTTCGTCCATTTTAAACAATCGCATGAAATATTATATTTACACTGGCGTTTTGTTGAAGTTCAATTAAAACTCATTTAATTGAAAATTCAGATGAGATTGTGGCGGAAATTTGAAGGAATTTCCAACATCAAGAACTTGAGGATTTCAAATTGTCAATACGAGATTTACCCGAGATGAACCAGAAATCTCGTTTGATGTTTCTCCCGAGACAAATCACGGTAACTCCAATCCCGGGCATGACTCCATAAATTCCCGTGGAATTCAAAAGAAACCGCATAACACCGAAATGATCAATGATATGTTCTGTAGCGAAGGAAATAAGCGGCACGGGTCCAGGGTATCTCCAGTGAATCGTGGCTATTGTCAGGCTTTGATTCAGGGCTATGAAGAAAAGGGGGCGTGAATTTTTTCGCAAGTGTGGGCCCAACGATCTAGCACGCTCAAATGACACCGATGTACCCAAGAAAAGGACCATAAAATACACTTCTGTTAAATGTGAAAACGTCCATAAGGTAAAATGTCATGGAGACCAGGGGAGACTAATGCCATCGTCTCCTATTGAAGATACTGACCACAAGAAATATCGTGCAGTGATTTCTACGAAGGTTACAACCAAAACGTATCCTCTTGCTTCATTTTTCCAATGGTCAGACGCTTTTATACCGTCTCCTCGTATTTTTTTATTCTCCGATGTGACAAAGAGCCAGTGTCGAAGAGAATTGAAGCCAGTGAATGGTTGACGGTCAATGCCGAGGCGTGAGACCCCGGGGGGAACGTAGAATTGTCCAAGTGAAAATGCGAGACTGGGTGAATGGAATAAAAGAATGGCATCCAAACGAGCCAGTGTTAGACAAGACCAGAATCAGTTGGGAAAAAAAGGAAAAAATATGTGGACGATTTAGACCCGTGCCCTCAGGGCGAATATGCATCTCTCGTGGAATAACAAATCCAACTTCCACGAGGAAATTTCAACTCAATTGCATTGCGCTACTCTTGTGTATCTTTGCCGTACCCCAGGCCTCTTCAGGGCTTGCGATAATATTTTTCTAGGCGACCCAAGCAAACTCGATATGTACCCCCAACCAGGATCACCTCGCCGATAGCTTGAATTTTTCAACTTGGGATTAGAAAAATCCGTTGCCATCCCGAGGAAAAAACTTTTGGGGTCTGGTGAATAAAAATTGGGGAATAATGGTGTGATTCTTCTCATTTTTTTTTGGGACTCAGTTTTTCTGAGCTCTTTAGACGGATTATTTATTTTAGTGGAGACTGTGTATTGAATATTTGTGGGAAACGGATTAATGAAAAAAAATTTCGTCCTTTCATCGTAAATATCCAGGGAGAAAAACATTTTCAGACTTTGAAAAAATTGTCGTTATAATTTTTTTATTCATCATCATTTTATCGTTTACTAATATTTGGTGTGCGCTTCGAGCCTCAGCGATGGTGACGTCGGAGTACACGCACAAAAAATTTATTCGATAAATGAAATGAATAAAAAAAAATATTCAATATATTGAGTTAATAAATTTTATATCCCCCGAGATTGAATTTCGAATAATTTTATAATTTCATTGAATAGTCATTACTGGCGGCGTGGGATGAATATAATCAACCAGTGAGTTTGTTTATTTATTTCCCGAGGCATCAATTGTAAGGCGGATTGATATTAAAGAATCTCGAAATGATGACCAGAGGGTAAAAAGAAGAAAAGAGCACGTGCGCGTGTCTAAATCGCCAAGACGCACGCCAGGACCCACGAGCCAAGGGAGATGGTTCTCTGAGAGAGAAATGAGATTCCAGTGAAAAGACGAAGTGAGACAGATTGTTGGGTATCTGGCGTAGATGCAGCCGATGCAGAAAGCTGGATGCACGAGGTATCCACCTGTAATTACGTGAAGGAGAAGCTGCACTTGATGCGGATCTAACGTTCATCGGTGAATGCCCATTCCCCTGCACTTCATCTCTCTCTGATTCTCTCCTCTTTGGCTCCTGGACGATCACCCCGAATAAACCAGGACAGGTTTTTGGCATAGCCAATTATTAATATGAGCAAGAGGGAGAACTGGGTAGAGAAGGAGACGAATACAACCTTGTGGGATGCAACGGTGTGGTCCTGTGGTGATTTTTTTATTGGCAGTCGCCAATATCGCGTGCATACTCCACTTGTTTTTTTTTTTATTTATTTTCGTTATCCAAAAGCGGATAGATAATCAACAGGGAACTCAAGTCTCCTTATCATCGTCCTTTTGCATTAATTCCACGGCGTTATAAACGTAAATGAGCAGTCCGTCGGTATCTTTCATTCGTTATAAAAAAGAAATTAAAAAACTCTCGGATATCTTATTTTGAGAGGTTCAACTGGGGACAGGAGTTTATTCTCAATTTGGAGGTAAGCTTGAATGAGACTTAATGGCTCACCAAATCTTTTAGAGTTTATTGATTAATTATCTGGGTTTATTGGGGGCGATTGTTTAATTGGGAACAGGGAGGCGTTTAGAGGATGGGGATAGGAGGCTGTCGAGTTACGGTGGTGGGTTTGCATTTAATTGATTGTTTTGGTGCATTTGGGGTATGGATTATTTTTATCGTGGGATGCGTTGATCGATCTCTGTCGGGCAATTCGAAATTATATTTTTTAATCAACCCGATTCCACACATATTTTGGCATAGACGCAAAAAATTTAGCAACAAACAAATTTTTATTTCACTTCAGCTCCAGGGGTTGGACTACAATTTTTGGGGGACGAATGCCCCAGCAGACACTTCCCAAAATTCAATTTTTTTATGATAATTGTTACCTGTATTTATCTCGCAGTCAATAGTAATGTTTTTCTGGGCGAATAAAATAATTTATAAATATTTTTGTTAAGACGGATTTGCAGGATTATATACGCAATAATTCGCGCCCTGAAGTGCTTGTTGGAGTTCGGCATCACCCCAACTGCATACGTTCAGCAGTTTCGATTCCTCGCATGGCGTCATTGTATCATTAACTGAAACATTAATATGCATGAGCTATTCTATCGAGAAAATTTTTAAAATGAGAATGCCTTTCATTTTCGGGAAATTTACATTGCGATATGCACTCCTCATGACTTTTTCGCAAAGCCTCGACCACATCCGGCTCTTTTATTACTTTTGCAACAGCTTCCGAAAGCTTTTCTAGCGAAGGGCGCCCTGAATCGTCCAACTGAGAAAAAAAAATCAGTAATCATTCATGAATTCAGTAGCAAAGCTGTAGACCGAACCGAGTGTTTGGGAAATATCACGGAATCTAAGGGATGTAGCGAAATATTTGTAGAAATATTTTCTACAGCTCTCAATCAATTCTGCAAAAATGGTTTTACCTGAATTTTTTATATCTGCCTTAGGGACGCAGATATTTCTCAAAAATCGAGGGAATTCGGATTCGTCAAATTTGGAATAGATATTTCAACAATAAATATTCTTAAAAAATTATACGTACACCTCCGAGTTCTCCCTGGACACAATTCCAGAAGCAATCATCAGTTTTGTCCACTAAAATACAATATTTTAGATTATGAATGACATACTGATTGATACCTGTGTTTCCACTTACTCTCCTTTTCACATTCTTCTCTAGCCTTTTTCCATTCGTGATTAACTGTACAGTTCTGTTTTGCCAGACAATTTAAGGAAATCAGCACGCAAATCCCGAGAAGATGAATGAGAAGAGCCATTTGTAATTCTGTTGGTACAAATCTATTTGACCAGTTCACTTTAACCAAATGAAGTTCCGCTTTTACTTACTACAATTTTCTATTGAACTTTCAGCTATTCGCTGCATTTATCACAGGCAATTAGTTCGTAGTAAGCCATTATCGATATTCCATATCTAAATTGTCCGCCAATACCTTCGACAAGGAATAAAAGTACTTTGCAGAATTTTTTATGTACTACTTACACCACCAATTTCTAGGTCAATGACACAGAGTGCGATTTCAAGTAAAAAAATTATTAAAATTCATAGTTGCCTGGAAATCTATTGAAATTCTCAAAATTTCAAGTGGCAAAACCGGGTATTTCCCAATTTATTTTATTTACAATACACCATGAATATTCAATGACAAATTCATTCAGTGACTAAATTGTCAATAAATACTTCCGATCCCTTTAGTCTCTATTCAGTTCAAAACAAACCTTCACCCTCGTGCGAGCAGAATTTCCACAACAATTCTCTCAAAACACATTACCCATCCCACAGAAAACACTACCGCAATAAAACCCAAGCAAAAAGGCAAGTACATCCCGTTACATTCCGTTTATCCATCCACGAGTGTCGCGAATTGGGAATCGTGCGTATCCCATCTCTCCCAAAAAAGTGGGGATACATTACCGGTACCTCGAAGATCCTTTTCTTCATCGGGTAGAAAAACGAGAGTGTACACTTGCACGTTCTCTCTGGGTGAAGAAAAAAAAAAAATCCCCCACCCCCAAAAATGAGTGTAAACCGAGTTGCGAACCAAATGCGGAGCCAGTCTCAAATTAAAAGCGGAGTGCGTGTGCGTAAAATGCGCGAGAAGGTTGAAAACGAAGAAAAGGAGAGGGGCCCCCACTGGCCCCATGGCCCAGGAACCTACAAACCCCATCGTTTTCTTGGTCCCAATCGTGCTCCAAAAGTCGAGCAACCGTCTCCCCTTTCATTCCTCCTTTTTTTTATTCCAATTCCCTTCCGTCCATTTAACTCGTTTTCATTTCCCCTCTCTCCGCCTCTCTTTTTGATCCACCAACTTCACCTTCACATCATATGCCTCATTTTCTTACTTTAAATTTCTCATCTCATGTGGTGTTGCTGGATCCTCTATCAGTCTGTCTTCCTCCAGCTGAATATACCCGTAAACAATGCTCTGGAGCGTGTATAACAAGGCCCTCGGCTTCTTCAAGAAAACAGAGGGAACTCTCTCCTGCTCCTGGGTATATTATGCGAACGCCCTCCTCTCCGGAGGGAATGAGGTAAACCGCTCGAGAAGTACGATAAAACCGTCTCGAAATCTTCCTCGGTGTTCATCCCCTTCGCCCAAATAACAGGAGTCTTATTCTTCCAAATTACTCGGTGCAATCCATTTTTGCGGCCCTTGGAAATTTGAATGAGTCCCTGATGCTGTTCCTTTTCGCCGCATTCAGACAGAGCGAATTGATTTTGGGAAATCCGTTATAATGAAAGAAATTTTCAGTTTAAGTTACGGAATCCACAATTCGTTCAATGATTATTTACGGAAGCGCCTCAACGTTTTTGTCACGGTATTCCTTCAAGGAAAATCTATAAAAAATATTTAATGTAGAGTAGGCCAATAAATTTTTATATTTGGCCGATTGAAAACTATTAGATAATTAAATGGAAATTGAAGGTAAATCCAATTAATTTCGATTCAGATAAATTTAAAAGAATTGGATAATTTTTGAATTAATGAAAGTGACAGAATGAGAAAGAATATAAAATATTGATAAATTGGTACTTCAAACATGAAAAATTCTATCTCGAATCACTCGGACCCCCCTCGACGCTATGGAAAATGTTATTACGCAGCAGAGTAATTACAATTCACGATACAATTACCAATTTATCGGGGTTTAAGTAATAATGTCAACAGTCTCCATTAATTTGTTTTATCCTCATTTCAATATCACCCAGGGCGAGGGCCTCTCGAGTTTTTGCCCGGTAAATCGTAATTACCCGTCCTGTTTTCTCCTCATTCTCAAGCGTCGACTCTTGAATGTTTTTTAATTTGCCATTTATCGATTATCGGTTATAGCCCAGCTGGGGAAAAAAAAAATTAAGTGAACCAATTCCAAACGAGATCTCTCCGACGTACGTTTTGTCGTCATGTGGATTTTTATGCTCGAATGCCTGTGTTGTACGTTACAGTATTACGATTGTACGTAGTACACTCGGTACCGTTTCCGAGGTACTCACGTACGATGGTTGCATTAATGCACGCTACCGACTTGTTTCAAACACTGGATTCTCCGGTACCAAGTATGGTGGATTACGTCGGTTCACTTCGCAAATTCAAGGGAATGCTTTTTTTCACTAGCACTGCGGGTGGCAACGAGTGGTTAACGACTCAGGCGTAAATTTTATTTAATTTTCATTGGAAAACCTTCGATAAGATGGACAATCATGGTCACTGCGGGGTGTCCCATTTCAATTTCATTTACGAGATTTAATTCAATGTGAAAAAGTTTCAACAGCAAAATTGCTGGATTAAATCCATTGACATCTCCATTCAAAAAATGTTCAAGACTTTGGCTAAGTATTCAATTAATTAAAAAAAAAACAGAAAAATTCAGGGATAATCATTCGATTTCCTAAATGAATTTGTACTCCAGAATTTTTTTCATCGACAAAGACTGTTCCATGGCTTTTTTAATAATGTTTAACCGGGAGACCTTTCGTCATTATAATGCCGATGTCACTTATAAATAATACGAAAATTCAGCGGGTTAAATCGCGTGCCCAGGACGCATGCGCCAAGGCGATATTGCCACGCGACCGACGTGCGCACCTCCTCGACCTGGAACATATCTCAAGACACTTTCTCTCTTCCTCATCCAGCAGCATATAACTGTCCTCATCACGTGCTGCTTTATTTTTTCAGCCCAGCAAATGCATTCTCCATTTTGCCCCCTTCATCCTGGTCATTCCGGTGTGAAAGAAGGAGGAAGAGAGTGTTCTGTTACTTCTGGTGCTTCCAAGTGCAGCATCTCGAGTTGCCAGGTTCCCACCGTGCCACCCATATCCCATCAAGTACAACCGTACTCCCACCAACAACCATTGCCAAGGGCTACTGCACATGTGGTGATGTACAGCTCCAGCATTTCTAACTGCCTCCTCATTCTCTTACAGCTTCAACTCCATTTTTTTAGCGCTTCTCCTTCGTTCAACCTGTTCCCTCAGTTAAAAGTTTATCTCGAGTTATTTATCTGGGGATAGAGAACATGCGAGTCATTTGAGTTGAGATTTTTCGTTATTTTTTTCAAATAATTTTTACATTATCTGTGAGAATTTTTTTTTACAAAAATGAAGTACGATAATTGTCGGAATATCCTTGGACACTTTATTTTTTCGGAGGCTTCAAGGGAGCCCAATAAAGAGATCCACTCGTATTTGTGTTTCACTAATTATAATTATAATTTATCCGTGATCATATGCAATGCACTTTTTGTGGTAATTGTTGTAACTGAATCAGAAATGAGTCCTCGCACAGAAAAACATATATTAATACGCCAAATATATATTAATTATGCACAGATATGTCGCATATAATTGTAATTATATACATTTTTTCAGGGAATTGTTTTTTTAATTGTCGGAAATATTTTTGGGTTTTTTTTTTATTCTGGCTTGAATACCATTTTTTGAGCACATATGAAACCTGTCGAGGAAAGGAATAAAGGACCCGTAGGGCATTTGAGGGGTGTCACGATAATCGCGGATTCACGATGTTTCATCTGTGAACGGGTGACTGAAAGCCAAAAGGACCTGAGGATTGGTGACAATAGTCGGTGAAAAGCCTGGAAGGTGGAAAAGCACTTGTAATCTGCGTCAGAAGAGCTATCTCCACATTTGACACTGTAATCTCCAAGTTTTCTTTGTGACACTTCCTTTTGAAATTTTTTGTCAGGAATTCTTCCTTTCTCGAGTCTCTGGGAGGTATACGCTCGACTTTTGATGGAATTGGGTCGCAAATTGCGAGGCTATTTTTTGGGAAAAGCTGACAGGCGAAGGGATCAGGTGATTGTCATCTAACCAGTGGATTTCCGCTGAAATTAAAATGAAATATCCTGAAATCAACTGGTGGCTTTAATTATTCTGTTTTGTTATTTCTCTGGCAGACCCAAAAAGCGTAAACCTCTTGAACAAATACGCGCAATAACAGAATCCTCGGAATTCTTCTTATCAAATGAAGAATCCCTCATTTCAAGTGCCTCAACAATCCACCAGATCCTCGCACTGGTGCGTTTGGGCGTGTGTAAGGGCCTGGATCGAAAAACCAGAGGAAAAAAACATGAGATATGAAAATAAAAAAAAAAACGAAAGCAAAATAAAGAAGACGAAGAACGTGCCTGAGCTGACGGGCACACATACATTGGCGTGAGGAACAGGAGCACGTGTGCCTTGACCACCTCACACACATCAGCCCTCCGATGTCCACCTCCACCTCCCAATGTACCTCAGACGAGATGAGAATGACCGGGGGCAGCGCACGCGAGTCCATAATCATACACTTGCCCAGGAAAGGAAGAGTTTTGATGAGCCTGCGCCACAGCGTACGTGGAAAAATTTCAACAACACCGATCAGGAAAATCTTTTTGTGATACAAGTGAAAAAAAGAACACTTTTTAGCACAGTTCGCACGCAAGAGCTCCCTCTTCTGCAGCAGTATCAGAAAATTATGATATACTTTATATCGTAATGTACTATTTTGGCCAATAGGAGTTTTTTCGCATGAGTCAAGAGTAAATCGTTATGATTAAATTATTTTTTATCACGAGACCAAACTAGCCGAGTTCTGAGTTCTGAGTACGATTGAAGGCAATGAAACTTCTTCTTTCATTCGCAGTTCGAATCATTCAGCTAGCATTAGTGTTTACTAAACTCTTTTTTTTTTTGCACCCGAATGAATCGATGGAGTCCTAGAAAATCCCTGACAGGAGCGTCAATTCCATCACAAACCCAAATCTAATCCACAAAATTCCCAGAGAAATTCCCCCATTTTATTACGATTTTTCTCTCACTTTTTTCCTCACTTTATCCTTGAGTCTTTCATTCTCCCATCACCATGGACGGATTAATCCCCAGTCGGGAAAAAAGGAGTTTGTCAGTTTAAAGTCCCTCGAATCCCTGGATTTCCACGGGGTAACATTTCGCCCCACGTGGATTCATCATTTCCACAAAGAAACACGTGACACGCTCCAACGAAATCCCAATGTATCCGACATCACACAAACGTAAAAATGAAATAAGACGATTTTTTGAAACGATAAGTTTCGCTGGATCGTGTATTCTCCCCTTGGGGGTAGATGCCATCTACCAGGGTAACGCGATCTTGATAATAACACCCCGCTGCTAGACAATTTGACAACGGATTCGTCCTCAGACGTTCCTTTAATCTCACCTACTGTTATAACTCATATTCTGTTTTGCCTGTAAAAAAATTAAAAATCCCCCATTGTTGACGGGAGAGCGGAATAAAAGAATAAATAAATCAACGTAACTTCCACTTCTTCCATGAATAACTTTTTTCCACTCCTCTACAATTATTTCTAACAAAATTCAGGCCAAAAAAAAATATATTTTTCCATTTTTCCCCCACGCAATGAGAGAAAAAAATTCTTTTGCTAAATCTTACTACCAATATTTACTTCCCACCAGTGAAGATAGTAAATACTTGCTTAAAACATGCTAATGCCAAATATATTTTATTGTAGTTAGTAAATATACTTGGGAAAGAATTTTTTTGTTAATTGCGAGAGGAAAGTACTCTCGAATCTACTTCATTTGATCTATTCATTAAAATTTGTTAGGATCAAGTACATTTTTTGTTCTTGTGTTCTGTACTTACCGACGGCGTAAAAATCTGCAACTCTGGGAGTGCCACCATACGGCAGAAGTCTGAACTGCAATTGAATTTGAATGAAACCTCCCAATTAGAACGGATCCCTAACACGCACTAAAATGCCAATAAATTCGAAGCGACCGAACACGTTAACAACAAAAAGAAAAAACCGAAATCCATCCGCATTTATCCATCCGACGGAATTCCACCGCTAATGAAGTTATTTGGTATACAGTCTCCTGTCCCGACTATAATAATCGATTAGGTAATCCCGAAGAAACCCGGTATGAGAACGAGGGCCTGAAGAGGAGTGAGTGTAACTCAATTAGGGAGAAATAAAATGACCAGAAAAGATGGCCAGACGCCGCCGAAACGTCGTAATCAAGCACACCTCGATTAATCTCTCGCCCATTTCATTTTCAACGTGCAACACACACAAGATAACTCGAGGTCATCATCTCCATGGCTTTTCTCTCCCTCTTTACGGTTGAATTAAACGAGCTACAAACACAAGTCGTCATTTTACCCGTAAAGCCCTCATGCACTCCCCTTTAAACTGTTTTTTTTTTCAATTAAACAAACACTTGGCGAAGTGTTTATTTAGGTTTTTCATTAAAAAAGCGCTTCGCTGACAAGAAATAACTCGATTTTTGATAAGAACTTTGAGTAGACTCCATACAGGTATTTTATATACATTAGTCAGTATTTTTTTTTTTTGATTTTTTTTGTAAATGAAGTGCTGTCGTAGGTGTAGCCCGTCAACACTTGAAGTCGGTGAATGAAAATTGTCAATCTTCCCACACTTTCACGAAAAATATGCGGAATAACGGGGTGGGGAGGAATCACTTCGTTATCACGAGAAATTTCAAGTGGAAACGGCTTAAAAATAAATGAGCCAAAACTCTGGAGTACAGAATAAAAAATTGAGGGGAGTGGGGAGGATGATCCAGGGCATAAAGGGATCAAGAGAGTAGCCGCCGGTGGAGACGTAAAATTTAAAAGGATGAAGCAGTAAAGTCGTAAGGTATGAGGCACTATCTCGGGGCCACGGGATGGGAACAATATTTTTGGGAACCGGTCGCCACGCGCTCTCGGGGTGGCTTCCAAGTGATTCTCCAGTGCTGAGAAAATTCACATATTCCTCTTTTTTATGTGGACATTTATTTCTCCGTGGTTATTTTTTTTATATTGCTATTTTTTGCTCAGTTTGTTCTCGCATGCGCTCAATTTCAACTTGTTGCTCTCGTACGTTTCATGTCTCGCAGGCGATTTTGCTTCTTTCTGTTGATTTTTAGGTGGAACTCTTTCACTCGCCGAGGATGTGAAATCGTAAAGTGAAGATGCGACAACGATCCTCCACTGGTAACGACC